TCTTCTGGGATTTTCTTTCCATGCCTGGGCCTGAAAACATCAGAAGATGGAGATCTGAATTTTCTTCCTCCTGTTACCCCAACAAGAGTGTATGTTTTAAAGGATAAACAAAGTCCTAATGTTGGTTAACATTGCCAGCGATGTCTCGGCTAAGTCAGTTGGGTTCTAAATTCAGTGAGCATAGTAAAGATCATCTACCATTAAAATAACCTGTAGGAACTCAAAGTCCCGTAGCTATGGTTCTGCAGTTTCCAAGCTATAGCTGCGTATGCCCAACACAGCGGGTTTTCTCTCGACACGGGAAAAGATTGCTATTTTTGTGTTTGAGCACCAGATGAGGTATTTGGCTTGCGTTTAGGCATCATGATGAATGCAAAATAGTTGTGTTTTTTGTTCTTTGTTTTGTATTAGCTGAGGGTGAGCAGTTTGCATATATTTAAATAAGTGTGTGACTGATGTGAATGTTTTGCAGAGGCCCCTGATGATAAAGAATATGCCAGCCGTTTGTGTGGCATGGAACATTTTATAAATAATTTAAAACCATTTCGATTTTCCCCCCAACTTTTTACTTTGGAAAATTTCAAACCGAGAGAAGAGTTAAAATAATAATATAATGAATAATAAGTACTCATATATCTTTCACCGAGATTTATCATTTGGCAATATTTTGCCACACTAATGTTATCTTTCTCTTCCTCTCTCTAATAGACATACAAGCCTGTGCGCACGCACACACACACACACACACACACAGGACACTAGCTACAACAGACTTCCACAAAGTGAATATGCCCTTGCAACAAGCAAGATCAAAAACAGAACTTTATCAGCAACCTAGAATTCTCTTTTGGGCACCCTCCCTGGCCTCATGCCCAAGGAAAGCCACTGTCCTGACTTCTAATACCCAAATAGGTTTTGTCTGTTTTCTAACTTTATGTAAATGGAATCACATTTTATAAACTCTTTTTTGAGTCTGGCTTCCTTTGCTCAATACTATATATGTGAGATTTGTCCAAGTTGTGTGCAGTAATCTGTTTTTGAAATATCCCTAACTTTGTGGTTGTTACTATTCAGGGCATGGACTTTTTCGAAGAGTCTGGGCAAGTTGCCTTGCAGAATGCCCTGTGATCTGGACTTGCCTGATCATTTCCTCCAGATTAGACAGCTTAAACATTTTTTGCAAGAATACAACAAGGGTGAAGTTGTGTACCTCCCCTTGCCTCTACGAGGAGGCACAGTGTCAGCGTGTCCTGTTACTGGTGATGCTAAGCTGGACTGCTTGGTTAAACAGCTGCCTGGCAGATCTCTGGAGCGTGAAGATACTTTCCGTTTTGTGAAGAGACCTTCCGTTTTGTAATTAACAAGTAATCTTTGGGAGGATACTTTGAAATCATGCAAATATCCTGATGGCCAACCAACTAATCACTCAATGGTTTTAGCAACTCTGGATGATTTTTGCTTAAAGTCAATTATTTCATCGATGTTGAAATTCTTAGGAAATTCTCTTATAAAATCAAAACACATTAGGTATGGTCACTTTTCCTACCTCCTAACCCCCAAAAGATACAAAACGAACATGCAGGTTAGTCTCCCTGCCTTATCTGCCCTATTCTGTACCCTGGGAGGCGGACCTTGAACCCTGTACCACTCGAATTCACTTGTAATAGGGTTTCTGGTTGGGTGAGGCCCATGGAGCATGCTCCTGGCAAGACATCCAAGAGCAGGAGGGGAAAAGGGTGAGGGTGCCCCACCCCTCCCTGCTTCAGCTCTCATTGCTGGCAGGAGCCGCGTCCCTCATGCCGGAGTCCCCACCTGGTGACTCTCCATGGCGTAGCTCTTCTTGGCTCCAGCAGCCATGTTTCCTCCCTTTGGCCCCTCAGCCTTATGATGATAATAGATCCCTCCTCTTCTAGTCTGGGTGCTTCGGTAGTTCTTATTTGTACACTTAACCCTGTCCACATCTCTATAGAGTCCTTTTATTAAAAATCTCTTTATTTAAACCACCTGAGAAATTCTGCTTCCTGCCAGGACTCTGACTGACTCAGTAAATTTCACTCCAAATCACCAGTGCCAATCCAATTGGTGGTTTTAAAATTTTGCTTTTGTCAATGGCATCACGGACAAGGTTGCATTTGTCAGTGAAGACAATGGTCAGGGAGAAGCAGAAAAGAAAAGGAAGAGAGCGTCTTCCTTGTGGCGGAGTGCCTGGATCCCAGCTTCCCCAAGCCCTGATCCACAGTTTGGGTCCATGAACTAATGAAGTTTGCTTTTGCTTGAGCCAATTTGAGTTTGTGTCACCTGAATCCAAAGAGTCCTGGTATCTGGGGACAGCGCAAGGAGTCAGGAGTTTGCGTGAGCAAAGGGACCAGCGGTTCTAGACACACCCTGTGTCCTCTTCCATTTGCTTGAAGAGTGTAACATGGCTATAGCTCTTTATTCGGGTCTCAGCTTTCTGGTGGGCATTTAAACAAAATAGCAAAAGATTTACTATCTTTCACTCTTCTCTGTCTAGTTCCTTGAAAGCAAACTTTGCCTGGTTGTACCTCGGAGCACGTCTTCTCTGCATCACTCATTGGTCAAAGGCAGACTGCAGAGAAATTGCGAGAAGGGAGAACGCTATGCTCTGGGGCTGAAGGGCAGGGAGAGGGGGCAGGTATTAAACCTGGAGACAAGGAGGTCAGTGTGATCCCTTGACAGGAGCCTTGCTCCTCTCTCTCCTGCCATTGCTCCCACTGGCCAGACTCAGCAGATCCACCAGCTTCACCTTCCTGGCTCAGAGCCAGTGCAGAAGGGGGAATGGATGGGATGATATCCGGTACAGCGGCTCTGCTTAGTTCCTGGCCTGAAATGTGTGTCACAACCAAACACGACAGGTTCCAAATGGACCAAACAGCCCAGATGACTCAGCCTGGCATTGAAGAACAGTCTTTACGAGGAGCTAAGTGTTATGACAGAAAGCAAGGTTCTCCATCCCAACCGATCCCTGGACAAGTAGCCTAACCCATCTGAGCCTCATCTGTAGGGGTCATCAAAGTAGGGCTGTTGATGGTACCCGCCTCACAGCTGTGCCCCAGGATTCACTGAGCTCACACCTGGAAAGTGCTTAGCATGGTGCTGGATACATCGTGAGAGTTTCATCAAGGGTCACTGTTCTTAATATTGTTATGACCTTTGTACTTCACTCTGGAGTATCTCAAGGTGGAGTAAATTTCCCCAGAAAATATCTTGAGGCAGAGAGAAACTTCCTCGACTTACGATGGGGTTACGTCCTGATAAACCGATCGTTAAGTTGATAATAAGTTGAAATGCATGCAATATACCTAACCTACTAAACATCCTAGCTTAGCCTGACCCACCTTAAACGTGCTCGGAACACTTAGAGTAGCCGACAGTTGCGCAAAATCCTCTAACACAAATCTTCTTTTATAACAAGGCCCCTATTTAAAACAAATATAATATAAATGGAATATCTCATGTAATTTAGTGAATACTGTAGTGAAAGTGAAAAACAGAATGGTCGTGTGGGTACAGGATGGTCGTAAGTGTATCACTGTCCCCCCACCCCCCCACCACTGGTGTGGCTGACCGGGAGCTGTGGCCACCACCGCCTATCTCTGGCCCCGGAAAAGATCCAAATTCAAAATTCCAAGTACGGTTTCTACTGATTGCGTATTGCTTTCACACCATCATAAAGTCAAAAACTTGTATGTTGAACCATCATCAGTTGAGGACCATCTGTACTTGCTTTGCAACTGGAACACCTGGGTCCAAAGGCTGCCACAATATGTTCCTCCCCACCGTGACCTTGATTTCTCTGAGCCTCAGTTTCCTTGCTGTAAAATGGGGCACAACTATCCACTTCACAGACTTAGATGAAGACCAAAGCAAATGAGACAAATGTACAAGAAAATGTCTTCTAAAGTGTAACAGCATTCTGCTAATGGAAGGAACTGTAATTATTAACCCAGCAAAGAGTGTTCTGTGGCGAGCATTTTTCTGATGATTTTCTTTGCCGCTCTCTTGTTGACTCAGTGCATGTCAACAGATGACTCCATTTCAACCTAAATGTCCCTTGCCCAAGCTAATTGCTAATTTAGACTTAAACTGTGCCCAACTCACGATTAGAATTCAAACCTTGGAACCCCATTAGGGATGCATAATGCTACATTTTCCTTCACTGAAATTAATCAGCTGCAAATGATTAAATCACTATATATAGTGTGAAACACAACAAAGCTGTAATTTTTATATAAATTCCAGAATGTTACATTATTTCCCTTCAGCACTGACATTGGAATAATTCTTCCACAATCATTGCTTTGTCTTCTGTAAGATAAAATTTAAAAGCCCCATTGCTCTTCAAGCGTACCGAAGTCTGCATTCAATATTTAATATGATTAATGTTTACTGTATTTGTTGTGGGGTTGTCTGCTAATTGTGGCGTTAAACCGCACCCCCTTCATCATCTTTGGGGGCTGAGGGATGTTGGTTCAGAACCACTTTTGAGAAAGTATCAATTAAAATTCAGCTCCATTGAACACATGAATCTTTTTTGTTGTTTGTTGGTGGTGCCCGGCATGTCTGGTGGCAACCCTCTCCTTTTCTCCCCCTCTCTTAGCTGCAAAAACGGACTGAGATGCCAGGCAACTTCTCTGTAAGGATGTAGCCTACGGTGAGGCCCCAGACTTGCTCAACAGGCAAGCGGGGCCCAGAGGTACCTAGTTTGTAATCCCGACAGTACGCTTCTCTGGCAAAGCCCTCCACCCCTGAAATGGGACCTGCCACAAGGAAGGCCTGGGCATGGGTGAGGTGAGCAAGGCGTCTAGGGGCCAAATTTAAGATGGCAGACTGTGCACCTGCAAGACTCTGAGAGCCATTTCCGGCACCCTAAATTTTGTTCCCCAGCCACCTCCCTCTTCAGGACCTTGCCTCCTTATGTATTACACCCCATGAGCCCCACTCGCATCCCACTCTGATTAAGAGTGCCCTGTTGAGAGTCTGTTTCCTGCCGGCCGCAGGTCTCGCACCGCAACCATGGTGGATGTCATGGAGTTGCCCAGGTCGCGCGTCAATGCCAGCATGCTAGCTCAGTTCATCGACCGGCCGGTCTGCTTCGTAGGGAGGCTGGAAAAGATTCATCCCACTGGAAAAATGTTTATTCTTTCAGATGGAGAAGGCAAAAATGGAACCACTGAGTTGATGGAGCCCCTTGATGAAGAAATCTCTGGAATCGTGGAAGTAGTTGGAAGAGTAACGGCCAAGGCAACCATTATGTGTGCATCATATGTCCAGTTTAAAGAAGATAACCATCCTTTTGATCTTGGACTATACAATGAAGCTGTGAAAATTACCCATGAGTTCCCTCAGTTTTTTCCTTTGGGGGTTGTGCAATATGATTGATCTTGATGAACACATTGAAGACTGTCATAGGAAGCCCCTGATATTTGAGGGGGAGACTTCTGTGATTTTTCATATTTAATTTGTTCTCCTTTTAATTTCATTTACCTAACCTTATTAGATACTGCAATATCCCACTTTTGATGGAACCTCTCTGTATACTGAAAGTTAAGTGCTTATAAAGAACACTTCTGTATATGGTCAGATCAGAAGCAAGAACAAAGCAGTTGCCTTGAGTTTAGTTTTCTGTTTTATTAATAAAGGCTGAAATGGGAAAAAAAAAAAAGAGTGCCCTGTTGAGGGTCAGAACGCCTGAATGACGACCCAGTGCTGCCTGGCGCTACCGTGATAGACCTTGACTCTGTCCCTGAGCCTCCCTGGATCTTTGCTTTCTCATCTAGAAAATAGGAATAATAATCTCCGCTGGGAAGAGGTGGGGTTGAGACGGTGCTTTGTGAACTGCAGGATGCTCTCCAGATGCGGAGGCTGTTGTCATCGAGTGGCGTGCGTTTCTCTGGCTTGCCCCCCCATTGCAGCAAGCCCTCTGGTTCCCTTCTCAGAGCTCCTAGAGCTTTTGGGGCAAACTCTGGGCCAAGTCTTAAAAATGCTGCCAAGGGAAGGTGTCTCCCACTGCTGTTGCTGCCCACAGCTCCTTCCAGATGTTGGGGCTCTATTCTTCTGCTAGCTTGGAGGCCAAAAACTGCACCGACTCTAGGCCACTTGGCAGTTGTGAAGTGATCTCTTCTCTTGCCCTCTTCCGTTCTTGTCAGTTCGAAAGGACAACTGCCTCACTCTCGCCTGCTTTCTCAGAGAATCCCGGGACAAAGCATTCTTCTGCCTTCACTCTGTAGCTCTCTCTTTCTGGAGCCCACACATGAGACCACAGCTTCAAATTCTTCCGTCTCCATGCTCTCTTGTTTTTTCCACTCATCTTCCTCACCTTGGTGAAGCATGCCCCCCAGTACATGATCACTCCTTTCTGACCAAAGCTTGAGCTCCGCGCTAACCCCTGGCCACACTGAGTATTGACCGGGCACAGTGTTTGGGAGTTACACAGAGCCTGGCGTGCTCCTCACCCCAAGAGCTCACAACCCATGGGATATTCCCTCCTGGACTTGAGCCTCACCGAGCCCACATCAGAAGACCCCGGGTGCTTTAGTGGGCTCTCCTGTCATTCTTTCTGGGAATAAGCTCCCTCCTGAACTGTTGACAGCTAGGAGGTGGGGCTCCTGAATATTTTAGCCTCGCCCCACTATGGAAGAATAGGAACCAACCATGTGCCATTGTGACATTGTGTTATCCTTCCAGAACTGGGGAGACATTTCTCCTAAATCAGTTCACACATTTTTCACTCATCTCTTTTGCCAAAGAAGGCATATTTATAAATGGGCTGTCCAGTTTGGCCGATGGATAAAGGAATGCTCAGGTGAGAGTGAGACTGAACCCTCTACCTTGACCTAGAACCAATACTGAGCCGGGGTGCACCAGCGTGTCCATGCAGGTTATTAACATACTGAAATTTTTCTGTAGCAGTCAGTCAGTAGCCCCTGCCAAGTGCTCCTCTGCATTCTTGATGCCCAGTTCCCTCCCTGGGATCCCTAGATCTCCCCAAAATCCAACAGAAGGAGCCTGGCACCCAGGGGTTCTCTAGGACCCTGCCCCAGCACTAGGGCCAGCATTCTTTCCCATTGACTGGTGCTCCTGCCATGCTGGTTGTTTTTGTATGTTTGTTTAAGATTTTATTTATTTTTATTTGAGATAGAGTGAGAGAGAGAGAGAGAGAAAGAGCACGAGCAGGGGGAGAGGAGAGGGGCAAAGGGAAGAGGGAAAAGCAGACTCCCCACTGAGCAGGGAGCCCGACGTGGGGCCTGATCCCAGGACCCTGGGATCATGACCTGAGCCAAAAGCAGACCCTTAACCAACTGAGCCACCCAGGTGCCCCCATGCTGGTTGTTAATTAGTTCGACGGTCACCAGACCCTCCCAACTAACTCATCACACAGATGTCCCCAGATAGCAACTTTAAGAGCCTGCATCAAAAAAAGTGTTGGGACCTGCCTTTGAAGCATGCTAAGTGTCTATTAAAAATTATTTCAGTGACAAAAAGTCTTGTCACTGACCATAACTGCCCCTGATGAGATTTCCCTTTAACTGACAAACTACTTTGGCAATCTCAAACTGCCCCTTCGTCCTCTGCTTTTGGAAAATAGTTAACAGGGCACACACATGTACTGAGCGTGGCTCACCACCAGGCACAGCACCAAGTGCTCCACATGCAGGGTCTTGTTGAATCCCCTCTGTGATATTGTGCCTTGTAGACCTTATTATTGTCATTTAACAGATGTGGAGACTAAGATTCAGAGAGTTGAGGTAATTCGTCCAAAGTATCACAACAGGAAGAGGCGGGGTTGGGACTCACGCCCAGGCTGAGTGACTCCAAAGCTCTTAACTTTGAAGTGAAGCTGATATATAGTCTCATATGTGTTCCTTCATCTTCCTCTTGTTATATGATCTCCGCTATTCTCGTGCCCTGAGGAATGCCCGTGTGCGTGCGTGCATGTGAGTATGTGTGTGTGAGGGGGAGTGGGGAGGGCGGGTGAGGGGGTGGGGAAGGGCCAGAACAGGAATGGACATCTGTAGGATGAAGTTCTGTATACACACATAGTTATTGCCATGTCCCTGTTCCCCATCATTTTTGTGGACCCTTTGGATTGCCTGGGTTGTCTGAGATTGAAAACAACATTAAGTCAAGGGCTTTGATTCCCTTACCCAGATGAGTGCCACGTGCAAGTCAGTCCTTTGTTAAGGCTCCAGATCACAATGAGGGTGAAGAGGAATAAGTATCAGTAACTTCTGGGACCAGGCAGGCGGAGGCTGTTAGCCTGTTCTTTCTGCCGAGATGAGCTGTGAGGTCCTTCTTCTCCCTGCCTTCCTCCCTGCCTTCCTCTTCTTCAGGTCAACACAGAGAAAGGCACGAGAAGATTATTGAAGAGCTATGAGAAATAGTAAGGGCCCAGAACATTCCTTATCTCCAGACTGTGTGTGTGTTTGCTGGTCTGGGTGGAATGGAGACCATTTTGGTAGACTCTGGTGGTTTTTTTTTTTTTTACCTTGAATTCCCTTCAGAGTGCTTTTCTTGGAGGCAAACAATTGAAGTTTCAAAACAAAAGTAAACAAGAAGTGGAGGTGGTTCCTCTGAGAGTTGCCCCCTTTCCAGAGCAGGCTGAGGCTGTGCTCCAGCTATGTCAAGGCCTGGAGAGACTGTCCCATCTACTCCCTGGAGGCTGGTTAGCCTGGCTGTCAGGTTTCTTGCCCTCCCATCCCCACGGCTGACAATGGCCAAAATGTCCATCATTTCTGCGCACAGAGTTTGCTGTTCATTAAAGATCCCCTGACTAGAGAGCACTATGGATATAGAATTACCTCCTTTTTTCTCTTTTTCACCTTTGAGCTCAGAATTTCACCTATCATTAGGTTTTGAATGAGCCACAAATCCAATTTAATCCAGAAATACCCACCAAAAAGCTGAACTTGAATTTTGCCCTAGGGTATATTATGGCCCAGGAAGTAAGTGGGGGGAGGAGAGAAAAAGCATCTCTGCATTTCTAACAGTGTTGTCTTTCCTGGTGTGGGAAGAATGGAACCCTGCGGCCACGGATCTGAGTGTGGGCAGCCCCTGGACCTGGGTTGTTTCCTCCCAGTGAGAACATGCCCTCTGCCACGTGCTGGCCCCAGGCGGCAACCCGCCCTGGCCTGCAGACCGCAAAGCATCTGAGATTCTGTTAGTCTAGAGTGAAACGCAGCCAGAGGCTGACATTGCCATTGCGCCACCTGCTGGAAGTTTGGGAAAAGACTCTGAAACTCCCGGGTTTGGTTCTGACTAGTAATAGCACAATCCTAGTGATTATTTTTAATACTTCTCATTTTGTCTTATTATACAACTTACACAGGTTTATTGAAGACAATTTAGGAAGTTCATACAAGTAAAACAAAGCACAAAAATCGCAATCCTGTCGCCAAGAGATTACCATTTTTTATGTTTTGTTGGCTTTCTTTCTAGTCTTTTTTCTACTTGGATATGCATAAATACATGCACCCTATTAGTCTCATTCAACACATTATTTTATAGCCCGATTTTCAAGCTTAACAATATGTCTTAAGTATCTTTGCACATCATTAATTATAATCTGCAACCTGACTTTTCCTAGCAGTTTTTACATCGCTGTACCATGATTCTAGGGTGTCATCCTATGTATTAATTACGATGGTGTCTATGCTTTGAGTTTTTACTAAGCCTCATTTCCTACCTCCCCTGTCCTTTCTTTCTTCTTTCTTTTCTTTCCTTTTCTTTCGTTCTCCTTTCTTCCTTCCTTCCTTCCTTCCTTCCTTTCTTTTTCTTTCTTTCTCCTTCCTTCCTTCCTTTCTTTTTCTTTCTTTCTTTCTCTTTCATTCCTTCTTTCTTTCCTTCCAGCTTTTTGTCTTTATTTCTTTATTTTCCCTCCAGTAGAAAAGATCTCAGCAAATGTTGTTTGGGACAGTTCCTTGCAGTGTGTCTTGCTTCCCGCCCACCGCCCCCCTCCAGCCCCATAGGTTCTTTCTTCTAGGTGGGCTCTGCTATCTCTGCCTTGGAAGTCAGGACACTGTACTTTGAATTGGGATAGGCAAAACTCAAAGCATAGACAGTGTAGTGCTCCTCCAGTAAAAAATAAAAAGCTACTCACCAGGTTTCATTCTGAGAACCTTACATGAATTATCACAGGTAAGCCTCATAAAACCCTTATGAGAGAGAGTACTTCTCCTTCCTTCTTCCCACTCACTAGACAGCCGAGGACACCATACTTGAGAAAAGCAGATGAACTTACCCAAGATCATCAGCTATTAGTCCCAAACTTCAGTGTGCAGTGATTGCTATTAAAAGGAAACAAGGGGCGCCTGGGTGGCTCAGTCGGTGAAGCAACCGACTCTTGATTTCGGCTCAGGTCATGATCTCAGGGTCCTGGGATTGAGCCCCGCGTCGGGGTCCCTGCTCAGTGGGGAGTCTTCTTGTTTCCCTCTCCCTCTGCCCCTCTCCCTGCTCGCTCTCTCTCTCTAAAATATAA